GCTCGCCTTAAGAGCTCGCAAAAGGTTTACAGGAAGAAGAAAGGGAACATCTTCGGTCACCACCGTAAGCGCCACAACTCCCGGAACGCGCCCTATGCCCACAGGAACTTCCACGACCCCCAAGGTCTTGGCCGCGCCTCCAATGCCCCGTGCCTCCGAAGCTTCACCCATCCACCGCCCTTTCAGCCCAAACTTCCTAAGCGCCTCGAAAAGACGAAGAAGAGCGGGACGACCTATCAGACCTTCTTGCGCTGCAGTGTCTACAATGGCTTCCGCACTCGAAGTTATGACACCCACGAACGGCACATCTGCACTGCTGTGGTCTGAAGTCAAGAAGGACACTTTTGCATCTGGAACGCTCTCGGTGAAAAACTCCGTCACGGGACCTGAGTCTCTGCCAGCCCAGTAGAAGGAGGTGCCCTGAGCAGACGCGGTCGAGGGAGCAGACGAAGAGCTTGCCGCGGAACTCGAGGGACGTGATGAGCTGTTAGTCGGACATTCCTTGCTCCAATGCCCGATCCTTCCACAGGACCTACACCGCGTGCGCAACTTCAGCTCCTGGATCGTGATCCCTCTGTCCTTGCCTTGCTTTCCGCTTCCTTTCCCCTTTCCAGGGACTGGACCAAAGGAGCTTCCCTTGCCGTGGCCCTTCTTGCCCTCTTTGTGCCTGGAAAGCGCGGGGGGTAGAAGCCTCTGGCGTTCCTGGTCTGCTTCAAGGCCTGCCGAACGTCCTGGTAGCTGGCGAGCACGTCCACCAGGTCCTCCTCGTCGATGACGTCGTTCTCGTCCAGGTCGACGCCGTCCTGGGCCTCGTCCCAGACGGGGAAGTGTCGCCATTCATCCTCCTCGTCTTGCTCTGGCTCTTGCTCTCCAAAGAACGTGCCTTTCTTGCTTTCAGCTGAAACCCGGTCTAGCTTCCTGAGGTTCTTGCAGCCAAGTGGTGAGCTTTGCCTCTGAATCGCGGTCCAAATTGGCTTGGCGATACAGAAGGTAGCCCGCTGCTTTGTTCGGAAGGTCGACGCCCTCAGACCTCAAGGTGGCCTGCGCCTGCTGGAATCTAACAATGTACTCGGGCAGACTCTCTTTGTGCGAGCGTGCTGCCCCGAAGATAGCAGACTCCATTGCCCTCGGAAGCGCCGTTTCCTGATATGGAGCAAAGGCATCCTTGAGCGCCTTCGTGACCTTCTTCAGCCCGTCCTCGGCAATGAGGTCGCTGACCGTCAAGGACTGCACGGCCTCCTTAGCGGGCCCGCTAAGGGCCTGAACAAGCTTGACTCCCCTCTTGGCCTTTGGGAGGTCCGTCACCGCCTCCCAAAGCTCCACGTCTCGAAGGAACGGTTTCCATGAGGTGTCCGGCCGTTCTCCGTTCCAGCCTGGCGGCGGATCTCTGTCTCGCAGTGGTGGAGCTTGACCTTCTTCCGCCATCTCGACCCTCAAACAGGTAGAGCTAAGTTGCCCCGGAGAATCTGCCAGAAGATCTGGAAGTCCTGCTTGATGAGCTCGGGCCGCCAGAACTTGTAGTCATTACTGTCGACGGTCGCGCCGAAGAAGAAGCCGCGAACCGGGCCGTAGAGGTCGACGAAGCCTGCTCTCGCTCGTTTGGCCTGGGTGACCTGGATCTGGACACGACCTCCTCTTCCTCGGACTCTGCTCCAGGTTCCTCGCTGCTGGCCTCGTTGAAGTGCTTTTCGATGAAGAAGTCCTTGAACGGGACCTTAAGGCTTCTGAGAATCGCTGCCGTGAGGTCGTTGTACTGCTCCTCCTTCTGCCACTGCTGCCTCGCAGTGCTGACCCGCCTTGTAACAGAAGACTGCGCGTGGCGGTTGTCTGGGTCAGGCTGGTCTGCCTGCAGCTGCCTTCTCAGGGCCTGTTCACCGGCCGACAAAGCACTCCAGCGAAGGAGCTTCCTGGAGATGTCCTCGTCCTCGGTGATCGTGCCAACCGGGCTCCGGTGCCAACTGACAAGATGGACGAGAACCCAGGCTGCAAAACTATGGCTCACTTTTCTCTCTAACTCGCTGATCGGTAGATCTGGCTCTAAGGGGCCCCTGAGTGGAAAACGTTGCGGTGACACACATGAGACCAAGCCTGTGCACAAGTGCTTGCTTATTCACAGCAGGGCAACCTCAGGGATTTCCCAAAATAGGACCTTATGGTTTCGGTCTCTACCTTAATGCTGCTGAGGATTCAGCAGGGTTCGTACCTCCTCCTCCACCATTACCAGCCCACTTGTGCAGATCAGGGTCGAGCAGTGCAGCCCACAGTCATACTATTGCAGTGGAGGTAAATGGCCAAATGCGCGGAGGGGTGATAGATGATCAATGGAGAACACGGGTTGTGTCAGTTGAAAGGAGCCGCGTGGAAGGAGTTTATAGGGCAGGCAGTGAACTCAGTGGTCAAGGTGCCCAGCTCTACAATGGGCCTGATGCTCGCATGGGGTACAATGGGCAGTGGGGTTACAGTGGGACCAGAGATGGATCGCCTGCCTCCTCTCAGGAGCGAGTCCGGTGAATGGGCGCATCTCCACAAACTCGGATGGGAATCCGAAGTCTTCATGGCTCTCATGCTCTGCGGCTCTGCGCTGACCCCGCCCAAGGGCCGTGCAGAGCGCAGGCGACGGGTCTCAAGAGGCCCGAGCGGCAGCATCCTGAGCGCCTCGTTCCCTCTGTATCTATGGCTGCATGTATGGTGTGCCAAGCGTGGCTGGTGACCACAGGTTCGGAAGCCGCTCGTCAAAGCTGAGGGGAACACTGCGGTACCTGATACATCTGCCTGGATTTAGAGTCAGATGACGACTGAGGAAGAACGTTGGGCAACATGGAGGAGGAAAGTCCCATGTTGAGGGCTGCTGGCTTCTCGGAGGAGCTGACTCCTCCCTACCAGGCTGTGCAGTTATTTTTCAGCCACTGCGATCTGCAAGGGTTAGGACGCAGACGTTTATCTTCTTCCCCATGGTTTCCCTAAACCCTAAATAGTTGTCCTGATTTTCCGAGCCGCCGAATGCAGTGTACCCAACGGACCACAGGCATTAGCATGACCCCGAGAGTGCACTGGCCTCTCAACCGTTCCACACCTGGTTGCCGACCATTCTCGTCTGCATGCACAGCCTTGGTAGACTCCTTCATTAAAACGATCTGATCCAACTGGGCGCTTTCCTAGCTCAGCGGGGGTGCTTCACTGGATGACGGAAAGCGAGCAACGAGCGAAGCTGTTATAAATGGTATCTTGTGGGGTTGGGGCGGTGAGTGGGGGTCAGCAGCATCATTGCTCATCTGTCTCCTCCAGGGTTCTCCTCTTGTCCTTGAGGGGTCATTTGACATAGGCCAGTTTTTGTGCCTGTTTTTGAAGCTTCCCATTGCTGTGGTGGTTTTACGGTATCTGCAGCAGGCAAGGGCGACCCAGCATCGTTCCTCCGTTCCTCTCCCAGGGGGCATTGGCCGGTTTTCGTGCGTGTTTTTGAAGCGCCGTTTCTCCCTCAAAACCATCGGGCACAGCCAGGATTTTTGCGTGTGTGTTAGAAGCTTCCCCCCGCACTGCGCTGGTTATGGGATCTCCCGCAGCTCACCCGAAACAGTACCAAGTGCAGCATTTTGGGCCGCCTTGTCTAGTTTAGGTAAGAATCATGTCAGGATTGCACAACAATCTTTGTTGTAATTGTTCAGGTGGCATGTGCCCTGCGAATGCAAAGGTTTTGACAGGGATCTAATCTAAGGATACGTCAAAATCTGAATAGGATGCGTGCAGTTCAAGCAGGGCCACATGTTGAAGCAGCTTCCGCCAATTATCTGCTTCAGAAGAGAGTCCGAGGAGCCCTCCAACAGAGCATGTTGATGAGTGAGAGAAAATACGGGCAGGCTTATTATTGCGCTGAGGGTACGTCTGTTTTTGAGAAAGTGGCAGTGACAATTAAAGCCGCGCTTGCCTGCCTCATCCTCACTCACAAAAAAAGTAATCCCTTCTCACCCATATTAAACTATCTGTACAAATTGTTATTTCAAGTATTTCAAGGCACTGACCTCGACACTTAAACCTGTGGGGCCATGAGTCCATCGTCTCGTCCGTTGCACCATCATGCTCTCTACTCTGAGGTACATTTTGGGGAATATGACCACCCACTCCATATAGCAACTTGGCTATGAACAATTGCGCCTTTCAATCGGCTATTCCGATTGGGGCTCAAAATAGCAGTCGGCTCTGGTACGTACTGTCCTGTGACGGACCCTGCAAACACGGCTTCTCCAGTACTGCCTGGGCTCTAAGGGCCTCAAGACACCTCACGCGTATGTACACTACATCTCTCTGCAACTGAAGACGGTCAAACGTCATTGGATGTACAAGAGACATCTCTCTACACCGAGTGCGGCTGCGGGATGACTTTTCGCAGGGCCAGGTGAGAGAGCAGTTAGGGAGGGCCGGGCAGGAAAAGGAAGGTACTATGAGGCATTGTTGATGAGAGGCGGCGTGCCGCTAGGACTCAGCAAGCAGCGCATGGTCATCAGGCCCAGAGGGCAGCCGCCGCAGGACTGCCCGGGCATGTTCGCGTTACAGCACCGTTCCTGATCGGAGTCCATTGCGCAGCCCAGACGTCGGCTGGCCTTCGCCTGCCTGACCCGCGCACGCAATCTCGACTTCAACGGTGAGCCCTGCGCTTTGGGCGCGCCCCGTGACAATGGAGCGGAGGCATAAAAGACACCCTGCCTTGCAGGCACTGGCACTGGCATACAGCAGCACCACAACCCTCGCTCTCCGCGCTGTTGTGGTGAAACAGGGACTTGAAGAGCACAGACCGCAGGCTCTCCTCGCAGAGGAGCCTCACATTGTTGGCCACGAGGGGATAGGAGGCCTCAGCTGGCAAGCACGTGGTGTAAAGAGAGAGAGGTTCTCTTGTTGCTGGGCTTTCGTACGAGCTGCAGCGGTGAGGGCCAGCTGCGAGCCGAGCCTTACACCACCAAACCGAACCGGAGTGCGACACGGAGCACGGAGTCCCTCTGAGTGCTTCGCCGGGGCCATCGACTTTCGACCTATCATAAAGGCAGTCAAACGGCTGTCCGGGTCCTGCCGCCCGCGGCCTGGGCTGATTTTCCCCCTTCGGCGGGCTGTTGTTTTCCATGGCATCGGAGACAACAAGTGCTACCTGTTGCTCTCTTGCCCGTTGCTGCCTGCTGCTTTTTGCTTTTTCTAGGTCTTTCCGGAAGTTTATGTGCTATCTTTGAAGTGATGCTGTGCATGCTGTGCATGCTGTGCATGTACTGCTTCACCATCTCAAGCCCACGCGGCAGGGTGACGTGGTCAGAAGCGGCTCACAGATGCTCAGATTCTTTTTGCAGGTGAGACGAAGTGACGAAATGAGGTTTACGCACCCCGGAGCTGAGCATACTCGCCCATCTGGGCCTGCACCTCCAGCATGACCTGCAGTGCACCAGAATGCACCAGAGCAAAGTGGGTGGAAGTTCTTGCAAAATGGCTCGGCCTCCTCCCTCAGGGTGCTGCGCATCTCCTTTTTCAGGTATCGCCTGACAGGCAGCTGAAGTAAGAACGGCTTGAGTCGTGAACTCGTGAAGTCGTGAAGTGAAGGTCGAGCCGCTTGTACATGAGCATGCAGACCTGAGATCAGCACTTGAGCTGAGAGATTGAGAGAAAAGAGTTGGGAGAACCGAGAGAAAACGTCGCTTTTGGTCCAAGAGGCGAAGCCCAGTGCCACGGTGGCCAGTAGCCAGGCCAAAAGCTCACCGAAGCTCACCCCTCCCTCAGAAAGAGACTCTTTCATATACAGGTCGCTACTAGTACAGCTACCTACATGAAATGAAAGAAGCTACAGGTCGTCTATGCTGCAACTCAAGCATCGCTGGGGGCCGGGATGTAGGGTCTAAAGACATCGCGCTTCTCGACCAGTTGAGCGCACTCTGGCGGCCTTGCAATGACTTCGGAAATCCAGAGGCTCTTTGCGCTTTCTGAGCTGGGCACTGGTGGATGAAGCCAGAGCAGACTGCTCGGACGACGAGGTCGGCTGTGACGATCCCCTTGAACCGCCAGCCGTTCACGCGGATTGCTTGGTCCGACCAGGCCTCCGGGAATCAAGGGGAGAAATGAAGGATGTTACCGAAGTGTTCAAGGGAATTTCTGAAAGCCCCCGGCAGTGTCCCGAAGCTGCTGCCTCAGCTTCCTGGCATCCAATTTGCCGAAGACAAAATAAAGTCGGCCATGTTGTGAAAGGCGGCACTCTTACGATGGAGTAACACCATAACAAAATAAAGTCGGCTAGTCTGCCAGGCTGCCGCGGACTGGACAACTGGCCAGCAGGACTCCTCCTGGGTGGTCATCGCGCACTGGATGATCTCGTCTGGATTCACCTTGACCTCCAAAACTCCAGCTCGAGTGGTGTGACACCAGCTCACCAGCCACACTTGGCCTCCTTCATGACGTTAATGGAGCACTCCCTGCCAAAGCGTTTGGCGCCAGTGCCGTCCACAGGGCACCTGCGAAAACAGCATGGGCGCTAAAAACATTTTGCCCACTTACTAAGATCCTCTGCGGATACTTCTCCATGTAATCCCAGTACTTCTCCGCATACCTTGGTCTTCAACTTTCCTCGCGCCCTTTTTTTTCCCCAATGCCAAGCCACTCAACAAGTTGCCCACTCTTGCTGACCTCCATGCTTGTCCTGCACACCAGCATACATCGGTGCTCTGACAGCTTCGAGGCTTTCGCATGTGGTCGCAATGTCCTGGCAACCTGCGAACGCGAGACGAGCAAAGGCTTTTGCTGCTACAAACAACCCTTCGCGGACCAGATTTTGCAGATATGTACAAGCCTATCAGACTTTTGAGGCGCGTTGTAGGAAGCGGAAGGAAGCTGAGACGAGAACTGGCTTATGGGCAGCATTGCAAAAGCACTTTGCTGTGCCTTGGTGGCTTCGTGGATGCAGAGCTGCCGCACATCCTCCTCCAGCACCTGCCAGCCGGTGAAGGCCGCGAGTGTGTTGCCAATGACATTGCTGTTGTGCAGCTTGGTGCAGCTTGTAGTGACTCGTACCTCCTTGCCGGTCACGTCGCCAGCGCCATCCGGGTCCTGACACTGCGAGGCTCGCACGCCTTTGTCCGCGCCTGTTTTGCATCTTATCCCCCACATGTCCCATCTCCTCTGCACAAAACTCGCCCTTCTTGTCCAGGCAAACCCCTGAATAGACATCCTTAATGCAGTCACAATCAGAGTCATGCACAGGCATCTTCATCATACACCGATCTAGGCAGCAAACTGGGTTGTTCGTGTCCATTGAAAAGACAGCCTCGTGACGTGAGAGCCACGCACGCCCCCTGTCATCAAACACAGTGAAAATCCTGAGATATCCTGAGGTCAGCACATAATGCGGGTTGAAAATCATCACCTCGTTGAGTACCCTTCGCTTTGGAGCAAACTCCTGTGGGGTCGATGGCATGACACCGGCTTGACCTCTCAGCTCTCTCAAGCGCTCGCAAGCTCAAAACGCCTTGAGGAACTGCATGGACTGGCTTGAGCCCGAACTCATCCACATGTCCATGGTCACCACGCGATCTGTCGGCAAGTTCCAGGCCAATTCCACCACGACCTACCAGCTTTGCCAAAAGCCAAATGAGGCTCTTTTTTCCAAGTTTCGCCAAGAGCCTCGGTTTTTTTGGAGACGGCACTGATGAGCTCCTGGCCGTCTTCCTTGGAGATGAGCACCTCAGAGGCGATGTGAGGCAGCGGATCAGGCTGTCAGGGCTTCAAAAGCTCGGAGAGGTGCGGATGGGATGTAAACATTGCTGCCGAAGCCATCATCGGCCACGATGATGTCGGCCAGCTTCTCCGCAGTGAGTGGAGAGTCCTCGCGGTCCACGATGATCACGGCATGGGCGCCCTTGGCCTGTGCCACCCGGACCTGCCAGCAAGAAGCTCTCGCAAAAAGCCTCACCGCTTGAACACCATATCATCCCACCTTGGTGGTGAAGGAGCACTTGCCCCGGCGCACCATCACGATGTTCAAGAGCTTGACCTACCAACTTTCATTGAGCCAGCTGGCAATAGCTGGCAGCATGCAGGGACAGGCTCAGCATACCCAACCTTGCGGAAGCTGCTGCCCTCTGTCTGGAAGGTCTCAGGGTCAGGGATGTCGTAGTCGTCCTGAGAGGCGGCTGCAGCTTGCGTTGGCAGAAAGACACGCGGCTCCAAAACGACAAGTCCTTGCTGCAGTAAACATCCTCGTGTTTGGACTGGCCGTAAACCTGTAAAAGATTGGCGCTGCAGCTCTGCAAAGGTCCTAGAATCAGGTGGAGGTCACCAAGCGGCCCATGACCACGTCGCCGTAAAAGGGCGCCCCAAAGGTGGCAGTGGAGCCCATGATCCTCGAAAGGCGAAGAGCAGTCGAGCAGCTGGAGAGCGTTTCAAACGGCTGCCGGACGGTACAAGCTCCTGCCCCTGCCCTGGAACCTTGAGAGGAGCCAGGAGGGAGTGATCACCTGAGAACTGTGTGCTTCTGGCTTTGCCATCCGAAAGCCGTCTTGCGAAAGCCACAAAGCCTTGATCTGGCAGTGGCAGAGCCAGGGCTGGCCAAGCGCCAGCAGCCAAACCCGCCACATAGGGGTCACCAGAAACGCCTCAGCTCAAGAAATGCTGCAAATGCGGGGAACCACCTTTTAGCTCATCTCAAGTTCCAGTGGTCTAGGGCTGGTGCCATGCCATCGACTCCGTGGCTTTCGCGGCTACGGTTGTGGTCTTCCCCCCCGTCTTAAAAACAAGGCAGCAGATCGACAAGCTGCCATGCTAGATGGCATGGCCTGTGAAATGCTCTTAATCTGTGAAGAGACCCCACACCTCTGCCGTGTCAGAATAAAGGGCTGGACAAAGCAGATCTATCTGGACAGCATCTGTTCAAGGATTGTGGAATTGCAGTTTTGAAGGTTGGATGCATCCCAGCAAAACCAAAGTGAGGGTCGCATCACAGCGTCATCAACATGTTCTCGCCTAAGCCCTCCTCGTGCTTGGAAAGTGCCCGGTAGGTTTAGACGACTGGTAGCTGTTCGAAACGTAGACAGCGTGAAGTGGTGTGCAAACTGGGAACTTGTCGCCCACATGAAAATCTGCATTGCCGCCATCCTGACTTCTTTCCCTACACAAATTCAAGACCCTATGCCCGGCTATGCCCTAATAGTTCTGGAATCGCAGGTCCGGGCTGACTCGGGGAGTGTGACGTGGCTGCAGTCCGTATTGGAAGGCGTCGAAAAAAATATGGTATGATTCCGATATCATGTCATTCTCAATGTTGTTGCTGCTGTTACTGTTGTGACGCCTGTTACGCATTACCACTGCGGCTGTTGTCGTTGTTTTTTTTGCTCCTATTCTCATGGGAATCATTATGATCATTACGATTTCGAGGTTTGTCAAGGATGCTGTTATTGGTTCGGCTTTTGCTGGCTCAGCGCCATTACCAGCAGTACTAGCGTTCCGACGCTCCAGAGACATTGCTTCGGACGGCTTAGGCTTTAGCTGCGAAACAGCTCGGTGGCATCCATTGGAGGCGTTTGTCCTCTAGCTTTGGCAATCAAGGCTCCTTAGACAGCCAAGCCGCATGCAAACCAAGCACTGCATCCGTGCGGACCATTCCACGTCACGAATTTTAACATTCACCATTAACACTCCTGATAGAGTATAGCGCCCATGCACTTCATCCCTGAGCCCCATCTGCATTCCAATTCAGCCACTTACTTGAACTTCCTTAACTTAACGAAGCCATGATTGTTGATACGGAAATCCACAGCCTGAAACAACCTGCAAGTAGGGAGCAGCATTCGTTTCTGAATCAAGCTTCTAGCCATCTCTGAATTTGTGCGGGCTGTGGAGAAAACAGATCCAGCTTTCCATCCGCATTCCAATCCGTCAGCTGAAGACTTGTGTACTTGTCCAAACATGGGACTTCAATAACATCAAATGTTTTTTTGCCCCTTTCGCGCAGTGTGACAGAGCCGCCCTGCAGCTGCTCAAAATATCTGATTCTTACCTCTATGCATGTGCGTAGCGGCACACAGCGCAGCAAGCGTTCGGGCTTGTTCTTCTGCTTGGGACTCAAGGCGCCTTCGGATCCAACATGCTTGCACTCACGGCTCAGCTTGCACAAGGAACATGGACTGCACGCACTAGCCCTTTACATGGCAACTCTGGCTACTTCTGGGGATAGTTTCACATCCGTCAAGGGGTGTTCCACAGAGTTGCCTCAAGGCAGACTTCGTCAGCCCAAACTTGGCCATTTCCATGACCTTTCGCAACCAAGTGCTATTGCCTAGTCTCTTGGTCAGATGAATTTAATGTTGCGAACAGTCGGTCCCTCCTTGGACCACGACATGCTCACCGCGCAGGATGCGCCGAGGTCTGGCCGACATTCTCTGCCGATCCACAGTAGCGATCCGCCGGCAAGGACTCTGTTCTCATCCTTCACCTTGTCGCGGGAGAGGATGATGGGTTTGAGCTTTTTGTTCGAAATCATGGCCAATTGAGCCATGCTCACTTCTCTCAAACTCAACTACAAACTCAAAGTTCTAAGGGAACACTTTTTCTTCTGTGGTGGACCTGCTAGTCTGGGGTCGGTC